TTTATTTTCTCACATTAATTCGAGATGCCTATCAGTTTCGGCAAGGCGGGCAAATTACCCTGCCCATCGAACTGTACTTTGTTCGCGTGATCATAATGGCATCAGCAGTTTATGAGCAATGTATTAAAATTTGGAATTTTTACAAAATTTGTTAAAAATAGCAGATGATTAATATGCTACTTTGTAATTTTTCTTTTTTTTTTCGATTAAAATAACAACCATAGATTGCGGAAGCATCAACAGCAGCGACAACGCAAACGTCGATAGATGGGACCAGTGAACGGATTGATGAACTGAATGAAACTGATGACGAAACTAAGGTCATCACTTTTTGGTGACTCATTTTTAAGAACGACTGCGAGAAATCATATTGTACCATATCTAATTTTATATCACTTACAAATCCCGCAGTTTCTAAAGAACTTTTGACAGCCAGCTTTTTTTTTCTTGATATTTGATGTTGAAATCCAGCTACCTAACAGCAAGGTTCTCCATGCAGTTGTCTGGCCTTGGCTATTCCAGTTTTTAATGAATTTGAATTTTTAATTGTTTGAGCCTTTTTCGGTCCTGGCTACTTTTTTTTGTTGTTGCTTTTAATTGTTAAAAGCTTGATTTTGGTGCTGAGGAAACAGTAAACTATTTAGCCTTATGCGTGCATATCATCAGTCCAGAACTGTCCTCGTATTTATATTACTTTTTTACATTTATTACCATTTGCATGAGTTAACACAGCATAAATCCGGCGCCCATCACTTAGTCCGATCAAAAATAGCTTTAGTGTACGTGTAAAAACATCTCAAAAATAGGCTTGAGAAGTCTGACTGTTTTTTGATTTTCAGGATGTGGACAGTGGAACTGATGAGGGAGATGATGGAGATAGTACACTGACTGATTTGGGCTCAACATGTAGTGGATTGACTGATTTATCCGGCCTATCTGACTTGGATTTCCAACTGCCGGAACCTCCAGAGGGTACCACTGATGCTGGTGCTGAGGATACGGTAAGCTCTTTTCTTTTTCACAGATCACTAAATTATTTGATCGAGTCGAATGCGTGTTTGTTTGTTCGAGAACTGTGGATCTTGTTGGGTCGTAATGCCTCACCGATCTATTAAAGTGTCCAAAACATATCTTCCGCTACTTTGAAAGATGCCAAAATTCCTGTCGCGACGACTTTTGGAGCTTTATCAAAAGCGCACGTGAGGGGTGATAGGTAAGCTTGGGAAACGCCCATGTGAGCAGAAAATTGTCAGATTTTATGCACAGACACAGAAATTGTTCCGAAAACCAGCTTAGAATACAATAAATTTGTGCTGTGTTTATTTACATAAAGAACTTTTATTCTATTTATTTACATTTATGTTGGGTTTACTGACTGGGCGTTCCTTCGACTGGCCCGGTGCTCCGGTGTATCGAGTCGGGTCGTCGGCTCCTTGGCGATAACTCGGCATAGCAGCAGGGTCCATGTCCCTCGTGAGTTGTCTACACTACCACAGCACTACACTGGATCGACACCACTTTACAAACACGGCGGCCTTATATAGGCCGCTTTTGCGCCATTACACGACCTTCCTAGGAGGGAGTCATGTTGCAGCATTTATTTGAATTTATGAAGCTGCTGTTGTGCTCACTTACAAATATTCAAATTTGATATTTTTTCCCCATAAAATTAATGATTGCAATTTGTCAAAATACTTATAAACTATCCCGTTGATCCCTGTCCCTTGCTTTTCTATTATTTTTTAAAATTTAATCCCTCATAACCTATTCCCCTATGTAAATTTATGTCATTTTTATATTTATTCAATCAACACAACCGTCATTTTGACGAGGTTTATCGCGCCGAGAATAAAAGAGGGTATTTGCGAATATCTAAGATCTGGTGAATATTAGATAGAAAATTAGACAGAAAATTTGCTGGCTGAATTGAAAACTTCTTTTTTCTCCTTCTACAGAATGATAAGCTGAAAGTGCAGAAGCGAAGAACTCGAGGGAAAAGAGCCGGCAAAAAATTGACCGAAAAACGAAAAAGATTAAAAAATGCCAAGCCATTTGGTGCGAATTTGGATAACAAGGCCAGTCATTTACTTCAATTTTCACTCATTATAATAGTGATAATCGGTACGGGGACAAGTATAAAGGAAGGAAAAATCGGTGGGTGAATTATTGTAAGTAATGTGGAACGGGTAAAAATAAATCTGGGCAGGAATGTTTCGGTCCATTAAATCGCATACACACTCCTTTGAGTTTTGATATTCTAATGGCGAAGAATTACGAAAAATATGACAGGAAATAATAAATTAGCAATCGTGTCGTCATATAATGAGCAAAAAAAAAAACCCTTAAAGCTCATTATTACTTAGATCATTTTTTTTTTTTGTAGTTTTACAAACAGTTACTGTGTTCCGGGCTGATTTATAGGAGCTGGGAGTTGTTGAGTTTGGCATGAGCAACGATACTGGGTGTGGGAAGAAGAGGAAGAACATGTGGCGAAAGAAACTGGAGAAGCGCAAACGCATCAAGCATCAGCAGTAATAATCTGTCCAGTGATTTACGTAGATTATGTTGTTGGTTTTTGCATATGATAAA